ATCCCAAACCGGAATTAAGATTAAATGTAATGAGAGGAAATGCACATACTGGAAGAAATATCAACCACAGATACTTATGCATTTGAAACCACTCTGATGGCAGAAACTGACACGACGTACTGTAATGACTAAACATTTTTAAGTACATTAAAATTCTGGACTTGTTTCCTCCAAAGTAAACCACCCTCAGAAAAGCAGCTATATGTAGGAGGCATGGCTACTACCCATTCTTCCTCTTTCTCATAGCAATAGGGAGCTAACTTCAAAGCTTTTATTTTGACCAGTCCTAATGGGATTATGTAACCACTGTCCTATCTGAACTCTGTCAATAACCTGTATACTGTCAACTATCTGTGAGCTTGCTAAAGTAATAAAAGAGAGTCCTCCTGGGGGCATAGCATGTCTAGTCGCCCATCAGGAGCACTGCTGGCAGAAATCCTTGTGTATGTGGTTGACTTCTTTAACTTCTCTCTCTAAGACTATTCCCTATCCTAATTACTTGTGATCACATAAACTATCAGCCTTCTCATTTTGTGGATGTGACAAACTATTCTTGAGATAGTTTGTCACACAAACTATTCTTGAGATAGTTTGTCCGACGAAGAGTCGGACACGACTAAACGACTAAACACATTCTTGAGATTACGAGTGTATGAATCAGCGTTGTGAGTGCCCCTCCGCATCTAGATAGGGAGGCAGCTGGGCAATCCTCCAAAGATGGCCACGGGCTGCCCAGACCACATACGCCACCTAGGTTTCCATGGTGAGATCCGGGCCCAGGCAGATGCCCAAGCTGCGAACCTCATTATTCGTGGGAAGAGTCACTCCCCCGAAGGAGAGGGAGTTTCCCAACCTACTGATGCCACGGCCGCCCATTTGCAAGATTTCCGTCTTGTCCGGGTTCAACCTCAGTCCATTTGCCCTCATCCACCCCAGGATTGCGATCGCAATTGCGATTGTTGTAAAGTGGATTCATCCTAATGTGGGGCAATCATTAAGCGAGGCACCACTGTACACTAAAGTGACTGCTTCTAGAGTATCTTTTTGCATATTCCATGCATTTACAGTGGGCCCTCGACTTAAGAACGGCCCTAGTTGCGAACATTTCACGGATTCGAATTATGAACCAAAGAAAAAAAGAAAAATCTGCCCCTAGTGGTAGGAATGGATTAGTTCTATGGGAACTAATGATTCGAGCTACAAACTGCCCCTCGATTTAAGAACCAAAAACAGCCAGAATGGATTAAATGGTTTTCAATGCATTCCTATGGGGAAATTTGTTTCGAATTAAGAACTTTTTGAGTTACGAACAGACTTCCAGAACGGATAAAGTTCGTAACTCGAGGGCCCACTATATACGGTTTCTCCTGTGTGAGTTCTTTAATGTCCAGTATATGACCTCCTATCACTGAAGCTCTTTCCACATTCTGCACACTTTTAGGGTTTCTCCCCAGTGTGAGTTCTTCGATGGGAACTCAGGGTAAACTTCTGACTGAAGCTCTTTCCATATTCAATGCATTCACGCATATGGTTTCTCTCCTGTGTGAGTTCTTAGATGCAAACTAAAGTTACAGCTCTGAGTGAAGGTCTTTCCACACTCCATACATTTATATGGTTTCTCCCCTGTGTGAATTCTATGATGTTTAGTATATGATCCCCTGTCACTGAAGCTCTTTCCACATTCCATGCATTTATATGGTTTCTCCCCTGTGTGAGTTCTATGATGTTTAGTATATGATCCCCTGTCACTGAAGCTCTTTCCACATTCCATGCATTTATACGGTTTTTCCCCTGTGTGAGTTCGTTGATGGGAATTCAGGTTACTGATATGAATGAAACTCTTTCCACATTCAATGCATTTATATGGTTTCTCCCCTGTGTGAGTTCTTTGATGACATCTCAGGGAACTGCTGTAAATGAAGCTCTTCCCACATTCAATGCATTTATATGGTTTCTCCCCTTTGTGAGTTATTTGATGTTTAGTATATGATCCACTGTCACTGAAGCTTTTTTCACATTCCATACATTTAAATGGGTTCTCCCCATTGTGAGTTCTTTGATGGGAACTCAGATTACAGCCCCGAGTGAAGCTCTTTCCACATTCCATACATTTATAAGGTTTCTCCCCAGTGTGAGTTCTTTGATGGGAACTCAGGTGGCAGTTCCAACTGAAACTCTTTCCACATTCCGCACACTTATATGGATTCTCTCCTGTGTGAGTTCTTTGATGGGAACTAAGGTGACAGTTCCGACTGAAGCTCTTTCCACATTCCATACATTTATATGGTTTCTCCCCTGTGTGAGTTCTTTGATGGGAACTCAGGTGGCAGTTCCAACTGAAACTCTTTCCACATTCCGCACACTTATATGGATTCTCTTCTGTGTGAGTTCTTTGATGGGAAGTAAGGTGACAGTTCCGATTGAAGCTCTTTCCCCATTCCATACATTTATAAGGTTTCTCCCCAGTGTGAGTTCTTTGATGGGAAGTAAGGTGACAGTTCCGATTGAAGCTCTTTCCCCATTCCATACATTTATAAGGTTTCTCCCCAGTGTGAGTTCTTTGATGGGAAGTAAGGTGACAGTTCCGATTGAAGCTCTTTCCCCATTCCATACATTTATAAGGTTTCTCCCCAGTGTGAGTTCTTTGATGGGAACTCAGGTGGCAGTTCCCACTGAAACTCTTTCCACATTCCATACAGTTATATGGTTTCTCCCCTGTGTGAGCTCTTTGATGTGAACTGAGACCACTGCTATCAGTGAAACTCTTTCCACATTGCATGCATTTATATGGTTTCTCCCCAGTGTGAGTTCTTTGATGGTAACTGAGACCACTGCTGGCAGTGAAACTCTTTCCACATTCCATGCATTTATATGGTTTCTCCCCTGTGTGAGTTCTTTGATGGGAACTCAGGTGACTGCTGACTTGGAAGCTCTTTCTACAATCCATGTTTTTATAGTCTTCCTACTGTATGAGTTCTTTGACATCTACTGACACTAGTCAGTAAGGCTGAAGCTCCATCCACGTTCTGTTTATTTATATTCCTTTTTTATGTGAGTTGTTTCATGTAAATTCAGGTGAGGTTTTTCCTCTCTTTTCAGTGGCAGAAGAAGTAGATACATATAATTCTGGTTCCCCTGTTTCTTACCCTGATGGAGAAAAAAAAGAGAAAATGCCATGAGGAGTGCAGAACAGAAGGAAATCTCACTGGGGATCAAGACAAGGGTTTGGCTCTGTCCACGACTGTCATGAGAAAGGAGGAACAACACAGCTACATCAAGGCCAGCAGAAGGAGAGGGTCAAGTTGCTTGTGGCTTCATTTCTTTGGTTAAGAAACTCCTAACATTGGTTCCCCCCCCCTTTTCTAAATAAAATACAAGGGGTAGAAAAGCCTTCAGAATTGCTTTGCTCTTTTTAAAGCAGTGGTAGGGGAACATGGGTAAATTACCCCAAATG